ATCGCAGAAGTATCGAGCTAGTTGAAAAATTAATTGTAATGATATAAATTCAATAATTTTAACAGAATTAACCCTAGGTCATCTTAGCCATATGAGAAAGTGATAAACATGTATCTCATTATGGTTGAGTAATAGATTGCATTACTGGTAGTCGTCTTGAGATCTATTAAGCATTTATGATCAAATAATTGGTTTAGAATGCATTTTCATCGTTAAATATCACTAGAATCCTTATTTATATTGAAAAAGTTCTCAAATAAGATTAAACTGAGAAAATCAGGCATTTATGGATTAAGGTAAGTCGAGTTGCTTTTGACTTTTAACCTAAGTCTTTGTGTTACTCATTCCTTAATTTAACTTCTGATTTGGTCCGCATGGTTAAATTGTAAATTGATTCAAAAAAATCAGTATAATAAACTGCTTTATTCGGATAATTCTTGACTAAGAACAAATTAGCATAATAGACGAAAAAATATTGAGAAACAATGAAAATATAAGTGTACACTTGAGTGAACGAATTATTTTTTGTCAAGGATTTTTTTGTTTATTTAGGTTGAGTTGAAAGTTTTGGACATGGTTCATTATTAAGTTGGCTTTTTCGCTCATAGACTATATCTAATATGAAAAACACGTAACTTGTTCATCACTGTAAAAGCCGTAAATTGATATTATGACTTTAGAGTATTGAATTGAGTCAGTATTTGTAATATCCTCTCCTATTGTTCAATTTATTTTAGGTATCGTTTCATCAAAAATTTTAACCACTTCAGACTATTTTTACTAGGAAAATATATATCAGATAAAGTAAGCATATATATGTAGGACACAAACACTTTCTCGAAATTATTGATAGTAGAACGAACGGAAAATATTCATAAAAGTAAACTTCGTTCATCATTATTGTTATACTATTAATAGAATAGAGAGAGAATATATATGCGTGCACAATATGTATTTGTTTATCTTATCTGATGAATGACTTTATACTAAAAATAGTCTGAAAAAGTCAACATCGTTGATGAAATATCATGTGAAATACAATCGAACAATAGAAAGAGAAAATCTTGTGAATATTGTTTCAATACGTAAGCTGATATTTACAATGTTACTAACTGCATGTATGATGAGTTTCCTTTAATAATTCGTATCTTTCTAGGTTTCGTTCGTCTGAGAACAAAAATTCAGCTAATTAGTTGAATATTGAATGAATTTTCTAATAAGATGCCTTAAGAAAACTTTATTATCACTGCGATTATTTCGTAATAGAAAGCAAAAGCAACACGCAAATAGAATAAGTTTTTTTCTTTTACCGAATGAAACTTAGAAAGATACTGATCATTGAAGAGAGTTTATCACACACGTGGTTAATAACACTGCATCAAAAATTCTGAGCAGTACTACATACATCAGCTTACGTTTTTAACGTGTTTTTCCGACAAATTATCGCATCAAAAGCCGTTAAAAAACATCTTCTCTTTGACGATGAAACATGTGTTAGAATTTTGAAACGTGTTAATTTTGCACACTTTTAACACACTTTGATAATAAAAAATGTAACATCTTTTTTTTGTTAAATCATTTATTTTTTTAACGAATTTTTACATCACAAGGCTTCATTAAATTGACCAATATTTTTACATGGGTCATATAAGAAAAAACCCTATGTTTAAATCTATTTTAGCATTAGATTCCATAAGAACACACTGATAAAAATGACTCACAATGAGTGTGCAAGTAATCTTTTTTTCATTCTTATAACAAGAAGACTAGAAAAATATATGTGAACATGTTTTCTAAGAACAAACTTTCTTAATAATGAAGCCAATGGAGTATCGTAAATTTTGAATGATACTTCAAATGTTACAAGTATATATTTTATATGTCTTCATAATTTTATATATTCGAAAAACACAAAATAAACTCTATCATAGCTCAAAATCTATGTAATTATATTTATATATGTTACTTTTACAAAATGTGCCGCAGTCGAATGATTTGCTTAAAGATAGAAGAATTTTTATTGTATGTCTTTATATGTTACTAAACATTCGGTTTTTTAATTAAGTGTATATCTAGAAAGCACAATCATATTTTATAGATCTGCATTACTAGAAATATGGCTTCGATAAATGCTCATAAAAATTCATCTAAATTATATTTCAAGCAAGCAAGATCTATAAAATATGATTATTCTCTCTAGAGATCCATTCACATCAAAAATCGAACGCGTAAAAATATGTGCTTTTTTTACGAGTTTATTTGCATTAGAATTTCGACGCGTTTTTATAAGTTATTTTTTATTGTTTGTCTAGTTAAGAAGAACGAATTTTCTCTACATTATACATAGTGAGACAAACATACTCTTTGTTTCAGATTCTATATGATTTTTCTTCATGCAAATTTTATGTAGGAAAGTCGAAATAATCAATCAGTTCTCTAGTTTGGGTATATCTTAACACTCTTGAAATTACAACTTTGCAATCACGTTGAAAGACAAGAAAAATAGATTAAGTCACAAGATTACATATTGAAGTACTCATGATGAAAACTCTGCAGAGAATGCGCACAAGCAGAAATATTGTGCCAATTATCTGTATGATATTACTCTTTTTCATCATACTCTCATACTTCTACGAGATTCAATGGGAGAATATTGCTATCCTACATCGCAAGTCTACTCATAATAAACAAGTAGCGATGCATCATCCGTTTAGAATCGGCGACAGCGATGATATGTTACCATCTGGATCACCGAATAATGAAGCATATGAGGTAATATTGTTGGTTATCGAATTTGCATTATGGAATCGTGAGTGTTTTTTGTTTCTAGAAGCTTCTCGAAAGTCCCATTTACAAAGAATGGATTGAAGTATTTTCCAATAAGTTTGTCAATGATAACAAAAATATTCTAGCAAGTTATAATAAATTATGGGTAGATGATCCTCTACATAGTTGGTCACGAGGATGGGAATATACATTTGTTATCGCAGCAATTCAAAAGTATGCTCCTCGTAATAAAGATCTTTTTATCTTGGATGTTGGATCCGGTGTAACTTTTATTGATTGGATGATTATTTACGAAGTAATAGAAGATCGACCTGGATCGCGTCTTCTAGCAATAGATAGTCACAAGTCATTTGGAAAATTATTTCATGAAATCAATCAGCGAAATATGGTATTGGCAAAAAATGGACAATATCCAAACAAATATACTATACCTAAAGTACATTTTGCAATGTACAATATTGAAGATGATATACGATTATTGAATTATAGTTTTGATATCGCAATTTCTGTATCGGTTATGGAGCATGTACCGAATAGTACGAGAGCAGCTCGTAATATATTCAATAGCTTAGCACCTGGTGGTTATTTAATTATTACATTTGATATTGACAAAAACAATGCAATAGTACAACATAGTCCTTCGAAAGCTGATAAAATGCTATCGGAATTACGACAAATGGGAAAAGAAATATATTTCAATAGCAATGTGTTACGTAGTTATAATGATGGACCATTTCAGAACAATATTGAAATGAAAGATGATTTGTATACTTTATATGAAGGCAAAAGAAGAGACTTCGATAAAGCATCATGGATCAATCGAATATCAGAACAAGCTAGAAAAGGATTATTTTTTTCTTGTCATGTATTTCAGAAACCACAATAATTTCATCCGATCCAGAAACGACAATCATAACAAAATTTATTCATTCTTATGAAATATTGAAGGAAAAACTTTGTATTTATTTGAAACCAAAAGACTGATTAGCTATATATCGGAGAGAGAGGAGTGCTATGAATATGTGATTATCATGTTTCTTTTATTGATCATACGGGATCGAATAATCTCATTATCACGATTTCATTCTCACCCACAAGAAATCATCAAATGGTCTTCATTTTTGCTGATATCTCTATATAATTCCAAAGAATCAAGCACTATATTTGCTACATAGTGCAGATGATATTCATAAATGATGCTCATAGAATCAGAAGTACGTTGAACTGAAATGATATTAGATTGAGCAACTCTAATACGAGAGAATTGGGTGGAGTATGTTAAGAGCACTTTCATTCTTTCTCAAGAGATTTCTCGAGCAGCTTTCCTTCTATATAGACGTTTCAAATCAAGAGCGAAAGAAATTCAAAGAGACTTGTTTGAATTTGGGGTGTGGGTATCTGTGTGAGTCTACTATTCACGTATACCTATTCATACTAGCCTATTCCACATATATTACAAGTAACGTTCATCGACATTGAATGTTGATTTACTGGGCCCTATACTGATGGAATGATGACAAAGATATCCTTATATTTTTACATGAAAACGAATTCTATATAGTGATGACTTTAAGAGGAATTATTAATCTTTGTAACGTGTTCTATATTACATACTATAGATATATTCATACAATTCACATACAACATTAAAATATGCTAATGTATATGATCAGAGTTTATGCTTTAGTTGATTATAACGAATAAAAATTATGATTTATGCTATCGAAATGGTCATTTCTACCAGGAGCATGACCAATTGTGACACAGACATGCTCATTTATGCCATACGAATGGTTAACTATGCCATAGAAATGGTTGATTGTGCCGTGGAGAGTGTGAATGCGGATGTGTTTCTTATTGTCCAGAATAGATAACCATACCCAAACCCACACCCTCTAATGTATGTAATGTACAATGTGTTACAAATATTAATAATTTCTGTTAAAGTTATCATTGTACAGAATTCATTTTTATATAAGAATATAAGCACATCTTTCTCATCATTCGGTCAGTCTAGGATCCAGTGAATCAACTTTCAATGTTGATGAACGTCACGTATCCATAAGAATGTCCAGATAAAAATCCCCCCAGTATCCAGTTTCATTGACTCCCTTCGTTCTTCTTTCTGCAGCATTCAGTATTTTAAAAAAAGCTTTCCAGAGAGAAGAGAGAAAGGCTGCCTGTTCAAATATCCTACTTTTTTTAATTAAATAAATATATAAAAAAAAGAGACATTGCATACACATGGGTGTTGATTTGGATATTCTCTTCACCCACATTCAAAATAATTTGATTCCTTTTAATGCGACCGCAACATATTTTAATTGATATTTATAAAAAGATGAAATAATGCTCTTAAAATAACTTGAGAAGAGAACAAAAGTTCAACTCGATAATACTTATGACATTATTTGATCACCCAGCGGTTCCACTTTCTCTAGTTATAACAACATTTGTGAAAAAAATCTCCAAGTTTTGAGGATTTCTAGCAAATTTTCAATTAATATTAGTTTTTAAGGAAAAATAAAATACACTGATATACTTCTGTTTTGAGAAGAATTTATCAAATTATAGAAAAATTGATCTTCATAAACAAGAATAGATCTTTTATGAAATTAAAAATTTATAAGCTTCTATTTAAAAATATTCTCATCAAGATGTAATTATGATATGTGGATCATTGTGAAAGTTTCTGGATTATTGATTAAAATAAATAGATAGTAACGAGTTTGATAGTAGCTCAAAGTCTCAGAAAGAAGCACACAAAGTTGTCGTTCTTGAACACTTCTCCTTTCGTTTTGTTTTAGATAAAGTGTTAAATTACTAATACATTTTTGTTGATATTGCTACGAACGTCACACGATACCAAATTCGAGTTATGATTTACTATGTTTACAAAAAAAAAGAATTGTTATAGGAGGATATGCCTTGAATCTCTTTTGTATAAAGATTCAAGGCATAACCTCTTGAGACAATTTTTTTTTCTTATCATAGTAAATCATAACTCGAATTTGGTCTCGTGTGACATTAGTAGCAATATCAACAAATGCATTCTGAGATTTGGATCTACTACCAAACTCGTTAATATCTATTTATTTTAATCAATAATCCAGAAACTTTCACAATGATCCACATATAATCTCAAAATTTCAATGTTAATCAACTAACAAGAGTCAAAAAGAAGATAGTTTTATCTTTATTATAAAACATTTTTGATAAAATTCCTCAATGATCACGACACTAGTGATTATTTTTATTCTTAACTCTTTCTTTTTTTTTTAATTATCAATTGATAAATATGTACAGGTTCATTATAGAAAAAAAAAATTAATCATATAAAATATAATAAATGATTCTACATCTAATAAATAATTCATTGAAGCTTGTTATAGAATTTCCTCATCTTGAGCAGAACAAAGCGTAGGAGTAAAATAGTTTTTTTTCTCTTCTACATAGAAAGTCATTCCGATTTAAAACGCAGTAAGAATATATTCTTTTACTAATTATCGGAAATGAACATATGTTCTGCATTTACATATTACAAACAAGTCAATTCACTTGATGTTTTACATATCTATTAATTAACTTGCTTTTAGATAGAACACATTATAAAGTAAGTCAAAAAGAAGACAAAGAAAAGTCCATGTCACTTTTTTTTTCAAACAATGATATAGAGCTTCTGTTTTATATATGTGAGTAACAAACAAATGATGTTGTTAGTCTGTCATGGCATTTCTTAAAGCGTTGAAGTTCTCTTCTACGTATAATTCTCAAATCGTTAGCTCTTTTTAAATAAATTTGCATAGAAAATGATAGTATGTCACTATTGAATAAAAAAAAAGAAAATGAATAGGTAGATTTTCTAAACAATCAGGTTGACGTCAACTAATGGGGATCGAAAAATAATCGTTTTCTTCGTTGATTTGTTTTTAACTACTATTAGTCAAGTTTAGATTATGCACGATATTACTACAATTGACAACGAGCGGCTGTCTTGCCAGGCGGAGAGAATAAAAAATCGAATAGAAAAAAAAAAAGAAAATTATGGTCGAAAGGTCATATACAGGAATATATATTCCGTTGATTTTTTGGATGATTGGTATTTGTAATTAAATATTGACATAAACAATGAAGATACTTTAGTATAAGGAATTATATATACAACTTTATTTTGAAGATAATATCTCCTTAGAAAACATCATCATGAATTTACTTCTTACACCATTATTATTGATTATTATATTATCAATATCATTTTCAATAAATAGTTATCCATTGACTATCGATTCTAAGTAAATCAATTTTTATTTGGTGTTTCTTTAATAATAATTCTATTGAAATTTTCTTTTAGTTTGGGTAATTTATCACCTAGTCAAATTGATCATCTTTGCTCATATATTTCCAATATTGAAACAAGAAAAATGCAATCACCGTAAATTTATTCGTTCTTTGTTTTTGCATAATTTTAATCTAATTCTGTTTGAAAAAAATAGGCAAAAACGTTTTGCTCTACCATTTCCAGATATGAATAGATTCTTATCAACAAGTCGTAAACTTCATCATCATAATCATCATGCTAATACTAAGAGTGGAACAGAATTTGAAACAAAAAAATATGATTTTCAGGGTTATTTATGCAGGTACAAATAATCGATTTATTTTATGAAATTATTTTTAATATTTGATTTTAAATAGTATTTTAAAAGATCCTGAAGAAATGTCAAATTTTATTAGTATGTTTATTGAAGAACATGGAGAAGCACCAGCTTTTCATTTATTTGAATCATGTGAACAAATAGCAAAACGGTTTGTTATTTTAAAAAAATTTGTTCAATTTTATTTTGATTTGTTGCTTTTTTCAGAGACGACAAATCAACTATTCGATTCAACGAACTTTCGTATATATTTTTTGTTTATCTGATAATTAGAAATAATTTTTTTATTTTTAGACAAGTTTGTTCATCGCGACATGATAAACGATGGAAGAATTCAATTAAAGGACCCATAAATATTGATTTTATTAATCAAATGCTTGAAGCTCGAAAAGTGAAATCGTATCCATATTCGGCTCAAATAGATCCTTATTTAGTGTAATCTTGATAATTACATTTCAAAAAAAAAATATATATATATTCACAAATTATTTTTATGTTTAGAGGAAAATGAATATCAAGTTAAGAACTGAAAAAGAAAGACTGCAGCAATCGAGAAGACTTCTACGATCAAATAATTTATCAATAACATAAAAATGACATCAATAAAAATTACCTTTCTAATATTTTTTGTTTTGTAAATCTCTATTATTGCTGTTGTTCTCTTCTCTTATTTGTTTTCATACACAAATAAGGTTAAAGAATTCTTTTTTAGTTCAATTTTCATGCCAACGAAACAGTCCCAAGTAGAATTTTTCATACTAAAGTAATTTTTTTTTCAAATGATTTTATGAATTGTAAAATATTGAAAATAATTGATCGATCATTGAAAAAAAAGAGGTAGAATTTCAATGAGTATAAGATATTGAACTAAATCATTATGACAATCAATTATATTGCTTTTAAGAACGATTATGGACATCTACATTATGTATAAGATATAACTTTTTAAAGAATTATTAATAAAAAACGATCGATTTATTCGACCTCTATAGAATAAACGTCACTATTTTTATTTATAGACAGCTAAGCCAAGATTCTTTTTCTTCTTTCTATTGCTATCCTCTCGACTATTTCTATTATGATAGAGGTTACAATTCTGCTGCTCTTTTACTTTTTTTCTATTCGTATAAGATACGATGTCAATGGAAGCAGATAACAGGCATTGCTATGTAAACATAAAAGAATATGTAAGAAAAAGCTTGTTAGCGCAGCCTCTTTCGAACTGACATATGGAAACTCACATATGTTCTCTAACCTCATTAAACTAATACAAAATACGTAACGTGAAAAATTTTTTGTAAACTATAGTCGTTTTTCAGGATAATCGAACGTCAGAGCAAGAATCTGTCTAATTTTTGCATTTCGAACAGAAATTTTTTATTTTTTCCTACCGATGTCTTATTTTTTGTTTGCATTATTTCTATTCGCTCATTATTTTTCAATTCATTTTTTATTAATTAAACATTCTTATTATTATAATTATGGAATTGGTTGACAAATAAGTCTGTTTTACATATTCACGGTATCTACCACAGATCTTACACACAATCATATGTATTATTAATCAACTCATAAAAACAATGATATTGATTATTTTTCAAAATTATAACTTGATTAATTTTGAAAAAAAACTGTAGAAAGTTCGACGACTGTTTTTTTTTCGATTGTTAAAGTCAAAATATAAAAATACTGATGTTATGTTTATACTATTTATTAAATTCATGCATTCTTCGATTTATTTGATATTGATATTTATTGATTGATTGATAAGTTCCAGCTGATGATAGCCATTTATTAAAATCTGTACAAGGTTGAAGTATCCTATTATATATTTTTTTTTTCGTTTAAATAAAGCTTTACATTTCATTTGTTTACTGCAGCATTATTTTTTCTTACATTATATAATTAAAAAAGCTCAAGTTCTATTTTATATTTTGATAAAAGAATACTTTTCTCGGTAAATACTTTTTAGGTTATTGTCCTGAAAAATGACCAATGGTAAAAATGAACGTACTTTTAGTATGGTTAAACCCGATGATGCACAATGTTCTGTTGTTGGAGATGTTGTTTATCAATTTGAACGACGTGCATATAAACTTGTGATTTAGCTTCTATGAAAATTTAGATTTTTCTTAATAATATTTCGTATTTTAGGCACCGAACCCTTTGCTCGAAAATCATTATGAAGAACATAATGGCTAAACGGAAAAGTTACTTCTCCTCTTACTTTTTCATTACGAACTCCGATTGAAATAGTCCGTTACGATCTCCGAATATAAGAAAAAAAACAGGGTGTTCGGAGTTGAGTTCTCACTAGCAAAAGTTAATGAAATGTAACAAAAAACAGGATGTTCAGAATGAAATTTGTCCAGAAGTTCGTGTGAAACTCTGACAACCCATTGTCAGTGGTTGAACATTGAAATTTTGACTGGAGATCAGAATGAGAATATAAAATGAAACAATTATCTCAATAAACGAATAACAAATAGAGACCATTCAAAATGTCACAAAACTTTTGCCACACCCGGTATTGACAATAGATCTATTGTTGCTATGGTATGAGAAGGTTTAAATGTTATTTCTGTTGATTGTAAAAATTGTTTTTGAATATTTTATTTCATATATTGATTTATACTAATATTGTTCAGGGTAATAATGCAGAAACATTCGCACATTGTGAAATTACTTTATGATTTTGATCTGATGAAATAAATCAATGGTCACATACAGCTGAACAATGGATTTATGAATAGAATTGATCAATTCATAGCAGAACAAACCAAAGACTATATTACTTTAAATTTTTTAAAATTAGTTTTGTATTTTAAAAAAGTAAAACGTTATAGAATGAACATTATTTATCAATCTGAGCGACGATTTTTCAACCAATTTTCTAAATCATCCAAATGAACTAAAATTAATTCAGCAGAAAGTGAATTAACCCAAGCAAACCTAAAGTCATCATTGTTAAAATTAGAAAATAACAAAATATTGATTTGACTTACCAATGACGAGTAAATTCTTTCGGGTTGTTAACATTAAAACTTTCATGCATAGAAAATGTTTCAACATGACTTGCTTCTAATCTTTGCCAAACACTATCAAGATTTTCTTTCGAATTATTTGTTAATCCTTCCATTATAATAGACATTGGCCAAACATATTCTATTGGTGTATGATGACTACCAATTCCATATGCATATTGACCTTGATAAAATAAAGGATTATCTTTTGATAAAATGAAATTTCGTGTTGATATAATTAATTGATCTTGTGGATCATAAGGTGTTTTAAAACCAAGATAAGATGCTGAAAGAAGTGATGGTACATTAGCATCATCAATAAGTAAACTTTGTGAAAAACCATCTGTTTCATATGCATAAATTTGACCATATTTATCATGTTTAACTACTCCATATGTATGAATACCTGAGAGAATATCTACACGTAATTGTTCGATCTATATCACAAAACAAAAAAAAAAGATTTCTTTTTTAATTTCTTAATTAAATATTAATACTTCTTTTAAAAGTTCAATTTGTTCTGGAAATATTTCTTTAATCATTTCAGCTGATTGTTTTAAAACTACAGTTGCCATCATATTACTTGGAATAAGATAACCAAACTTAGTTTTATCATCACTTGGTCGAAATCCAGTCCATGTCATACCAGTATATGCAACAGGTGATCCTTGATGATTATTTCCTAATTCAGTGTAACGATAAGGTGAAATTTGTGAATGATGTTGTTCAATAATCATAATTTGTATAATAATGTTAACAGCAATTAACCATTGTTGATTAAAAGGATTAATTCGTTTCGTTTGTTTCCACCAAGTATAACTTAAACGTAAATGATAACATAAACTATCTAATTCATAATTATGCATAGCAACATGAATATTTCGACCTTTTTGAATATGAATTGGTTCTAAAGAATCATCTGATGGAGGATTTGGACGAAGTGTTAAACGAAATGAACTAGCATAAGGATTTGAATAAATAAATTTTGTTTGACGACGAATAAGACCTTCAATTATACGTTGAATATCTTTATCATTTGATATGCTCATCATATATTGATGAACTTGAGCACTAGAAGATCAAAAAAAAAAAAAAGAAAGATTTTTATTTATTGATTTTGTTTTGTATATATTCTAACCTACTATCACGTAACCACATGAGATCAATATCACCTGTTATAATATAAGTTGTATTATCATCAAGTAAGGTTGTTGTTGTAGCCAGTGTATCAGCATAAGATTTTGTAAATAATTTACACCAAATATCTCCATAAACTTGATTAGCTTTATTTAATCGTTGACATACACGATTTATTTCATTTTTTACAGATTGTGGTACTATTGTATGATTATTTATTGGTTTAGGAATATGTTGATTTAATAATGATGTTGGCTGATAAGGTATAGAAGGATATTCGCTTGTTGGTAACCAAATCCATGGTTGATCATTTGAAGACATAACACTATTTAACAATATTTTAAGTTTTTCAAGTGCTTTTCTAGATCGTTCAATTGTACTTATTGGATTATTATTCAAATCTTTTGATTTTGAAATAAAAGATAAAGATTTTTCATGATTTGTTAATGATGAACATTGAAAAAAATAATGAAGAGAAAAAATGTTTAATAAAAGACCAATAAAAATGATTAAACCAATAAGTTCTAGACGAGTATATTTTGTTCGTATTCGAATTAGTTTTGATAGAATTGATATTAAACGATAAATAAACATCGAATAATAACTACGATAACGTTCTAGCAAAGTAAATGATGAAAATTTTTTTTTTCTTCATAATAGTTTAATGACATTTTATTAGCAAAAAAATCACCAAATTCAAGTTATTTCATTTATTTTCAAAGTGATTACCAAACAGTTGAATATTTATTTATATTCGAACTCGAATTCGGCAATTCGTGTTTATTTTAAATTTAAATTATTTGCACATCATTTATAATTTAATAAATTATTAATTAAATTAAATTAATCTATTTCTTTTTCATATTTCATCGAGATCAGACGAACAACGAAAAAAAACTGCGTAAAAATGCGCTAAATTCGATCAAAAATAGAACCATAAAAATATACACTTTTTACGTTTTCACAATTCGTCAAAGCTTCCCAACAAATATATACCCAGTCAAAAGTCTAAGGTGTTATGAACGTGTTTACATCTGTGCTTTTTACGATTTTATTTTCGTTTAAATTACAACGCATTTTTTAGGCTTTTTCTCCCGTTGTTCATCTGACCGGGAAGAAATATGAAAAAGAAATATATTAACTTAATTTAATTTATAATTTAATAAATTGTAAATGAAGTGCAAAGAATTTAAATCTAAAATAAACTCAATTTTGTATAACTTATATTTGAGCATAAATTAAATTCAAAAAATAAATATAAATTGACACCCCTACTCCCGATCAACGAAATTTCATACCTTAACTTGACTAATTGATAGCGTACATGACAGAGTGAGGCTAAGGACATCAA